GCTGTCTCTGCGGTGAAAGCTTGGAGCTTTACCCAAAGAAGCTCTAAAGAAACATAGCAGTGATCACCAGAAGGCTGGTGTGCTCATGGAGGATTGGGACAGTTGAGCAGAGCACAGCCTATGTAGGCTGGATGATTATGCAATCCTTGAGAGGCACTGAAGGACCTCTCCTGATGTCTGGGACCTGTTTTGCAGTAGCTCCAGTGCAATGAGGAAGGGCTTTAAAGAGCTTCTTGTGCTGTGCGAGTACACCTGACTTTGGGGGTAAATATGCAGGTGTTGTGAGGTCACCAATAGTGCTGTGTTTGGCTGTGCTACCATGCAGGTGGGTGGATGGTGCTTGACACTGCCAGGGTCTAGATCACCCTCTTCTCGCTGCATGGAAGTGTTTGTATCTGGGCTTTTGGACTGGGACTGCCTCTTCTTCCCAGTCTGTTTTCCAGCTGGCTTCTCAGCATCAACTCCTCTTTGTACACCCCTCCCTGAGATACCTGACTCGACGAAAGATGTGGAGCTGCTGCAGGTCCTGGGGGCTGAGTGGGAGCTGTCTGAGCTCAGCACTCCTTCAGCTGATACCACTAGTGTCCATGCATGGAGGGTGGGAATGCTGATCTAATGACACCACAGCTAGATAGCATCTCTGGGTGCAGTGATGGGGCAAATATGTCCTTTGGGCTGCTTTGTGAATGCTGCCTGCATGATGTGCTAAGTGAATCTGATTGTTCCCTTGGCTGTGCATGTTCCAAGGAGGCAGTAATTTGAGTGAGATACTGATGTGACTCTCATAAGTGTACCCAGGTGGGTTTATGGGCCTCTTCTGTCTTCACTGCCTACCTGATGCTTGCAGTATCCCCCTCTCTGGGCTGTTCTCCCAGATCTTTTTGCAAGCTTTACCTTTCAGTCTCCACCTCCAGAGCTCTAGCTGTCTTTCCCTTGTCAGCAGTAAGCCTGTGCTAATCACGCTTTCCTAGGAAGGCATTTCAGAATGTTTAATGGCTTCTAGAATAAGGATTTCTGAAAAGATCAGGCTCAGTATGCCAAGTCAGGAGATACACTAGTAACTATGCTAACATTGGGTATCTTGCTGATCTAGAAAGTACCAGCACTTTTTTTAGTTCCCAAACTCACTTCAGTAGGAGCAGGGGCTGGAGCACATTGCTGTCATGGGGAGAAGAAAGCTTTTCCAATTCCTTGTTCATAGCACATCCAACAGAAAGGCTGTGTTTCTCAGGAGTGTTGTTATGCTGTGGTGCTCTGGAGGTTGGACAGACCGTATGTGTTGGAGGGGAATGAGTATGTTTATGAAGCCGTTAGGTATGTGGTTATACAGACACCTGCCAAATTCCAGAGAGCACAGTATTGTAAACTTCAAGTATTGCTGGATTCCAGCTGCTGTTAGTAGGGCTCCTTAGACAATCTGCATTTGATTCAGCTGTGGAGGTTACCAGCAACTGCACAATTAGTGATGAATGCATTTGCTAACTGTGCCATTAAGAAATGAGCAATGGACAGATGGAGGAAGGAAATGCAGAGCTGCTTTGAACACATACCATCCCTATAGGCTCCATCTTACATAGATGAGAACAAGATGCTCTGGGGTGATGTTCTTTAACTGACATAATAGAGGGGTCCAAGGAGTTACACCACTCTCTTCTAAGCTTAGAAATATTTGTCTTCTGCTTTTTTTCTTCATGGTTGCTATGCATTTTCCCCTTCAGCAAGTCCTAGTAAGAGGTTTTGGGGTTTTTTGTCTTTGAGACTGTTAACATTGAATTAACATTCCTAAACCCTCACTTGGTTACATGCAGTTAAGTGCACGTTGCCTGCATCCTCCCCACTCTTCCCAGAGGATCAGGGATCCCTGCAGGTATTCAGATCAAGACGTTGGCTGTTTCAGAGCCTTCCTGAGTGGGAAGTGGCAGCTGAATAGCCTTCTGCAAGGGCAGCACAAGTACGGGCTGGAGGAACTCCAGTGCTACTTTTCCTGTGGCACACTCGTGGGTGTTTCCATCCCTTTCGTTTGCAGGAGCTGGTGCTGTGCGCCAAGGGACCCCTTCTCCTGCTCTGCCATGAACAGCCTCTCCAAGAGCAGCTCTTTTGTGCTAAAATCTGAGGAGTTCAGTTGCTGGGCTGTTGAAACCAGGACTGCTTTGACAAACTGATTTTCTTAGGCTATGTGGCTGGTAGCTATTTGGTTTATAAAGCACTTGCACTGGCTGAGATATTGTATGTCCCTGTGGTTGGTGCTGGGCCTGGACTAGCAAGAGCCCCAGGAAAGGGGAGAGGTGAGATTGTGCCATGGGGACCACACTAGGATCTGGCTGTGGGGAGCTTTGGAAGATGCCTTAAACTGTCTGAAGGGCGAAACCTCCTCTGCAAAAGCCTCCTTGCACGCTCCAGACGTGTTTCCTGCTTGGCCATAGTGAGGAGCACCAGCTGGAAGGGTTCCTGTTGCTGCTCCTCCAGCACTGCCTGACTAGCCCTGGTTCGATGGCACAAGGCTACCAGGGTTCATCACCAGCAGTTTAAGAACCTGTGTTTATCAGGAATGTAAGCCACCACCCTCACTGTTTCTGGCCCTGTCTCTTTCTGAATTACCTTGCTGCCCCATGTTCTGGTACTCTTTCC